AGACGTATGTGGATATGGAGGTGGGTGAAAATTCCCGGGGAGGGGGCGATCCCTGGGAGCATTCGTTTACATGTGGGTGGGGTCCCTGAAACAGCTCTCTGGTGTTCCTTCCTCCCCTCTGTCTCCAGTATTTCCCTGATGCAGGTGACATGCTGGGGAGTACTGACCATGAAACAAGAAGAGACTCCTGGAAAGACAGACCAGTGGGCAAGCACAAATGTGTGTGTGAGACCACGTCGGTAGCCAAGATGGAAAGCAAGTTCTCAGACAGGGAGACGATATCAAATAAGAGGAAGGTACATCAGAGGGAGTGATTGCATTATTTCCCCACATTTACAATCAACAGGCTTTGAAGTCCAAGGAGATTTGTAGCAGGAAGAGCTGCATTCAAGTATGAGCCCAAAGCTCACTCAGAAATCAGCTATAAATAGGGAGAGGTTCATGGAGCTATTGTGAGAATCTAACAAATTGAGAGACGAATCAGTGCTTTATAAACTGTAAATGCATTTATTGCAAGGTGCTATAAATATACATAAACTGTAAAAAACTACACAAATGTAAGGGATAATAATACGATAATTTGAGGAGGAAAACAGCCTTCTGAACGTAGTCTGTGACATTATTGTGAACTGTAGTCTGTAATAAGGTTATTTTAAAAAACAGAATTTGCCTGTTGAAATGCATCTTCTCTCTTTCAAAATCAATAATCTTCATGGGGCTTGATTTTATTTCAAGGAGAAACTATTCGAAACACACGAAACTCCTTTTCTGGGATTAATTTCCTTCAGAACCAGGTTACAAGCCACACAAAATTATCTCATTAATTTACAGTCACATTGTGTTTTGAAACTTACATGTTATCTATTAATCATTAGAGCTAATTCCAAAAGAATGTTGTTTTATTTAAATCAAAATTCACTCCTTAGAGCAATGGTCCTTAATCTTTTTCATGTATGTTGAGGACCTGCCAAAATGCACAATGTACAGAACTGTTTGCATGGGAATTTCTCGATCCCGAGGCAAAGAACTCTTGATCTTCCAAGAGTTATAGAAATTCAAATTTGAGGGCTAGAGATCGGAGGGCAATTATTTTCTGAGCATAAGCAGCAGGCTTGTTGGAATAAATGTTTAGCTTCCCAAAGGAATTGGCTGAAGGAAACCACACCACTGTAAGAGTGATCATATGGTATGAGTGTTTAAAAAGAAGTATTAGAGTCACAGGGGGTTTGTGTCATTTCTGTAGCTGCAGAGTGTGTGTGTGTGTGTGTGTGTGTGTGTGTGTTTGTGTGTGCGCACACGCTCGCTCATTACTAGTGGAATGTTAAGGTGGCAGCACTTGCCTCCCCAGGGGTCAACCCTTAACTCAATTAAACCAATTCACCCTGAAAGAGCCACGCCCTAGGTAAAGGAGTCAGATGGGCTGAAACCATGCTCGAGGCCCGCCTGGTTCCTGAGGATGAAGACGGTCATGACTGGCGTCCGGGTAGCTGCTCCCGGAGTCCCGGCCAAGGGGGTCGTTGGGGGGCTGACACTGGTGCTGTCTCTCTGAGACAGAGAGGATACCCTGTGATCCTCCCACAGGCCCACCGCCGTCAGAAACAGACTTGCCATGAATTAGCTCATTTCACTCTTCAACAGCCTCCTCAGAAGGATAGTACTGTCCTCACAGATGAGAAAACAGACCCAGAAAAGCTACACAACTTAAAATCAGTTAGCTAATTAGCCAAGTCAGCCAAGCCTATATTTGGTTTCAGAGCCCCGGCTCCTTGTGCCGCCGGACACTGTCCCTTCCATTTCTTCCCTGTCTCTGGGAAATGCTCCCGGAGGCTCCCCCGACTCCGGCCCTCAAGCCCCCAAGCCCCTGGAAGTGAAAGCCATTCATTTATCTCGCCGGGGACGGTGTCCGGAATGGCCAGCCCATCACACACCTGGGACTGAGCCTCACTGGCTTCTATGACCAGCTTCCTGCATGACCTTGGCAAGCTCCCTAGGTTGCCTGGGTCTCGGCTTTCTCATCTGTCAAATGAGAGGACAGAACTAGATGAAACTTCCAGCTGAAAAAGCCCGTGACTGGACTCTGCGCTCACCTCGTTCCCCGCAGCTGGTCCGCCTCCGGATGCGTGGGCTCCTCGCAGCTCAGCACCAGGCGCTGCCTCCCTGGCCCCATGCCGGGCCGCTCCGCCCCAACGGCACTGCGGTGGTTGTCCGCTTCCACTTATTTGGCTCATCTTTTTCCTTCTCCTTTCATATTAAAAAATATATATATATTTTTTGTTTTGGAGGGAGGAGGTAATTAGGTTTATTTATTAATTTGTTTTTTTAAATAGAGGTTCTGGGGCTTGAACCCGGGACCTCGTGCACGCTAAGCATGCATTCTGCCGCTGAGCTATACCCTCCCCACCTGGATTCTGAATTCTTCAAGTATTTTGCTTATTTAACTCCTATATAGTATTCCAGTGTATGAAGAAGCCAATTTTTTAGTTCCCCCACGAGAGATGCTTGTTTCCATTTTTCACTGTCTTGAGACTGATACTCCTTTACTTGCCTTCTTGAGTGTATGTGCAAGTGATTCTCTAGAATGAGTGTCTAGAAACGGAATTGCTGAGTCACTGGGTTTGTGTATTAGATGTTGCCAAACTGTTCCCCGAAGTGCTGGGACCAACGTATGTTCCCACTCGCAGTGTGTAAGAGTTCCCTTTCCTGTATCCTCACCAGTACCTATCAAGCTGACTATTTTTCCAAACTAGTATTTTGACTGCATTTGTCTTTCAGCACTTACCGCTTTCTTCCTTGTTAAGTGTTTATACGCTACCTCTCCTACTGGGCTGTAAACTTTATGAGGGAAGACTCCTTGCTTAACTCATTTTTATATTCACCCCACAAAATTTAATGAGCATAGGAAGTACACTATAAAGAGCTGTGAGCAAATAAATGATGAGCAGAATGAATTCATCCTGACCCGAGGAGATGGGGATTCCATGAGGCGGGCATGAGGCAGGTTCTGTCCGAGTCAGTCTGGGGCGAGGAGGTGGGAAGGGAATCTCCATCAGTGCAGGGATGGTGGCACAGTGCTCAGTACTGGCCGACAGACCAAAGGCTTCAAGGTCTGTATCAGACTGTCGCCAGCCTTTGGAGATCCCAACTTTAGATTATTTTTATCATGATATTCATCAAATATGCATTGACTACTGGGAGTAGCAAATTACCCAGTCTCTGGGGCCATCTTTTTTACAAGAGGGCTGTTTCTGAATGGAGCTCCCCACCGCTGGCCCACCCCATTACTAAGGGTTGGATAGAATCCATGTGTCCTTTGGACTAGGAAACTGCATGACCTATGGTAAGTGCCTCCCCCTCCTGTCACCCCAGCAGTTCCAGGCTGACTCATTTTCTAAATAAGCCACTTGTGGTTTTTGGTCTGACATCACATGTGGAAGAATGAGTAATTTTTTAAGAACCAGAATTATATTCGATCAGAGTAAGATACATTGTGTATGTTACTCATGGTTCTAGGACAAGGGGTCAACACTGGTAACAAGTACCCTAACCTTCTCTCACCCCTTTTCCTTGGGGCCAAGGGATAGGGAGAAGGCGAAAGAAGGAGGTGGATGTGGATGCGAAGAATTTTTGGGTGCATCTCTAATTTTGTTGTCACATGTGCAATTTAATACAATTATATTGTGTTGCCTCTGCTAAAAGAAACGTAATACAGCAGAGTAGGCGAGGCCATGAGTTCTGGGGCCATGCTACTTGCTTCAGATCCCAGCGCCACCACACGCCAGCCGGGCGACCTTGGGCAAGTTACTGACTCTTGATGGGCCTCCATTTCCTCATCTGCAAAACAGTAACAGTGCCTATAATAAAGGGTTGTTGTGAGGAATAAATGAATTAACAAATGTTAAGCACTTAGAATTGTGCCTGGAACCTAGTAGGCACTGTGGAAATACTGGTAAATATTTCCTACAATCCATCACAACATTTATGCTCATAGTAAATGCTCAATACATGCTTTTTGATGAAGTGAATGCATTCTATTAAAACACATTTGGAACTGGGGGCTAGAAGTGACTACTATTTCTAGGTTGGAAACAGAAGGGACCACGAAGATCCCTTGAGCATAGGTATCCCCACCCCACACCCTTTTGCTTGGCTTGTTAGCAGTTTGCTTCCTAGTTTTGTGCATCGTGGTGGGTAAAGGGCTGCCCCCCCCACCCCAGATGTCACTCAATCTACTTCCTGTTTTTTAAGTGTAGGAAGAAGGCACGGTTCTAGATCCTAGAACCCTTAAAGTGAGGGCTGAGTTGGAAAGGAGACCCTGGCCCCAGAATTCATTCTCTGACCTCTCGGCACCTGCTGCGCGCAGGGAGTTTGCAGGATAGCGGCGTTTGGATGTGTTAGTTTGTTGAGGTGTTAGTAGGATGTACGAAATTATTTAGATAAACTGTTAGTATCAGTGCAGACATGGTAGGTGTCCTCATGCATCTGTGGTTTGGGGGAACATACTCCTGAGGGTCAGAGAGTCAGGAAGACACCAGAGTGAAATCCCACGAGCCCACCCTCAGGCACAGGCTCTCTGGGACGCCTGGGGTCGGGAGGCTCAGCTCATCAGAGCAGGTGGGCCCTGCGCATTGGCACCACCATGAGGGATTTAGCTGAGGAACTGGATGGACCAGACAAGTAGTTCCCCCTTGGCTGCTACGGAAGCAAGGATGCTACGCTCATTAGAAAGGCTCCAAATTCCGTAAACCTGGTAGAGATGCTGAGTTACTGAAAGAAGTGCAGCTGTCCTGGAGGAAACAGATCCACCCAGAAGGTGTCAGGAAGCCCTGTTCCCAACCACTTGCAAAGATGGTCACAGTCACACATAGCGCACCTGTAACACACGCTGACACAAGCAGCTTCACCCTTCTAGTCCTTTTCCTTCCCTACACCCTAGCGTGCACACACACACGCCTCGCGTACATGCTCTCAGTCAAAGGAGTGGCCCAGGGAGACCTCACAGCTGAAGCAAATGCTGGTTAACGCTGCTGCCTTTATTACACCAACGGTCTTAACATTTATTTGGGAAGGAACACAGAACTTGGCATCCTGCTGTTACAGTGGCATGCATTCTCTACAGCAGGGCTTCGGGGCTCAAGGTCACTGCCCCCAGCATGGAAGAACCGCGCTGGGAAGGGAGGGGGCTGCAGGTCCTTCGTCTCTCCAGGACAGCAGACCACAGGTGCTTCACCCCACAGCTGTCGAGGGGCACGTGTGCTGGGCAGGTGTGTTTTAAACAGCTGAACAGATGTGACGAGGGATCGGGTGTGGGTAAGTCCCTGACACTCAGAGCCAAGAGTGTTTGGGGGGTGAGTATATTCTCCCCAAACAGGCAGCAGGACCACAGTGGGGCATGCTTAGCGCTGCATCGGAGCCAGGTTAAGCTACCGGGGTCTTCCATGAAGGGGATCCTGGTTTCACAAGGAGGAATAAGACATGATGGCGCCGTCACAGTAAGGCCACTAAAATCACAGCAAACGACGATCTCAGAGGACCTGCTCATGACTACAGGGAGGCAGCTCCGTCCTCTCTGACGTCGGCGCCCCTTGCTGGTTCGGCACCTGCCCTGAGACCTTCACCTGGTCCTTTGTGAGCTGCACCACATCACTGAGCACAACGGAGCGGAGGAAGGGGCCACACACGTCAAGATCACGGGACAACACTGCCACATGTGGCTGACTTGTTGGCAAACGTCTCAGATACCTCTCCTGGGCGGGCCGCGGGCCCCTGTGTGTCTGGAGAGCTAATCTGAAAAGAGGCTGGCAAAGGACTTCCTCAAGCTCCGGATGGTCTCTGCTTTGGCTTCATCCTCACTGGCTGAAGACCGGAAGAAGGAGGACTCAGAGAAGCTGAAGGCATTTGTCAGGGACTGCGACTTGCTTGAAGATAAAAACCAGAGAGAACATGAGAGGGTGGTGTCCCCAGAGAGGCAGGGAAGGATGGCGACACGAGGGTACACAACCGGAACCCCGACTCCCCCCCAGGGCCACTGGGTGACGGAGGAGAGTGCGCCCTGCATGCTCCCAGGCCCCCGGGAGACCCTGTGCTGTTTCTTCACCTGCAGGGCTGCTAACGCAGGGAAGGACGGGGCTGCGTTGGAGAAAGAAAGAAGGGAAAAGAGAAGGAAGGAGAAGAGAAAGAAGAAGGGGAGGTCCAGGCTGTTTCTTTTCCTTAACTCTCTACGGCCCCAACTCCGTGAGCACCAGCCTGGGAATCTCATGCCCTTCCCCTGGGATGAGATGGAGCAGCCCCAGGCCCACGGGCTCTTGCACCCTCTTCCCCTCAACTGCGCAGCCGCTGTCAGGGGCCTGGGTCAACGTCTCGGTTTCGCCTCTCGCTCACCCTTAACCTTAAGCAAGCCACGGGCCTCTATGGACTCAGTTTCTTATTTGGTTTCCTAATTGCGGTAGGTAGATGTCTGGTAAAATGGTATCTAGTCCTTTTCAGCTCTTTCTGCACCCCCCGCCCCCGCCAGCTCTTTCTGTTTTGCTTTTTTCTTCCCTCTGATTCCAAAAGAACTTTCTGGCTTGTCACACACTCTGCTACCTCCGTTTACCGCTCTCACCCTTGACCCTTTCTCAGAGGAGTCCTGCCATGGGGTCTGCAAGGTTCAGGGTGTCCGGGGTGACAGAGATACACATCAGGCCTACACAAGGTTATTGGCAGTTTTCTAATGAAAAAACCCAAACTGTACACACTTTAGGGATCAGTTTTTCCCTTGAGACCCTACTGATTCAGAGAGAAAAATTGTGGAGGCAAGAAGGCCGAGGGGAGGCCAGGCCCAGCCCTGCAGGCTAGGACACGCGGTCTGGTGTCTCCATGGCTGTCGTCTTTCCTTCTTGACTTCCCCTGTGTCTCTTTCCTGCTGGTTTCTGGCTCCAGAACTCCTCTCTTGTGGTCTCGAGCTCTCACCTCTGCCTTGAACTCGAGCGCAGCCCCGAAACTCCCTTCTACAGGAGCCTAAGCTGGTCTCTCCTCCCTCAGAGACTGAACAGGTGCCCTGCCTTTCACTGGGCCCAGGATGCGCCCCAGCTCGCTGGCCCCTGGGAGTGGGAACTCCTCTGCACACACAGGCCGAGGGCACCGGGTATAAGCCTCCCACTTGCTGCTTGTCATGAGGCCAGCCCTGTTCAACAGCTTCTGCCCAGAGGCAGTGACAGCCCCAAGATCCTCCCAGTTGGCTCAGGAGAAAGTAGGAGAGATTAAAAAGTCAGCAGGCAGAAAACGACTGGGTTGAGGGGAGGTTCTGAGGCAGGCGAGACGTCAGATGTGCCCCCGGCCAGAGCTGGGGAACGAACAGGGCATGGCTCCTTCCATCATGGAGGCCTGAGGAGACCCAGAGAAAGTGGTCATCTGGACCACCTGAGCCCTCATCCTGGCTCTGCCACTAACTAGCGGGGTGGCTTTGAAAGAGAAAAATCAATCTCTGAGCACTGTCTTCTCATCCCTGAGTGGTTAATTTCAGCTCCAAAATTTTATAGCCCTTTTGCTCCTGCCCTGAAGATTCTCATTCCTTTACTCTGAGATGCTGGGAGGGACCACTTCCTCTCCCTGGGGCTGCAGCTGTCTGTGCTGACAGTGATGACACAGGGCTGTGTTTGGGGACACTGGGGAGAGATGCTGCTGGTTCTGGGGGTAGGGTGGAGCTGCCCGCCCAGGTGCTGTCCCTCCCCAGCACAAGTGGACTGTTTTCTAGGGGCCCTCGGTTCTTTCCTCTGAAGCAGGACAGTGTGATGGGGGCTTCCAGTGTTACTGTTGGGAATGAGGGGCCCCAGGGGATGGAGTTCCTTGGGGTCTCTATCTGGGCCTCTCTTCTGATGACCACACCAGAAACCAACATCCTCCTGACAAAGCTGAAGGTAAAAAGTTGAAATGGATTGAACTACTTCCCCCTTTTCCTTCTGGGCAGCCTTGCTGATTGGCACACCCTAAACTGTGAGTCAGAGGCAGGAAAGAGAAATTAAAAAAATTTTTTTATAAAGAGAGAGACACACACACAGAGAAAATGAATGGAAAAAAGAGTGGGAGACAGGATTAAAAAAAAAAAAACCCATACCCTAAGCTCATACAAGAATGGGAGAGGGGGTAGTGCCCGCCTTACCGCCACTCCCCAGGAGGGAAGGGGAGGGTCTGAGCGTCTAGCCAGACCTTCGATTTTTCACTTCCCTCTTTCCTACCCTCCCCGATCAACCCAACCATGCCCCCAACCAAAAAACACCAAAACCCCAAAAATCCCCATGAAAATATCTGTAGGAGGAGGTCAGATGGAAGGCGCTTTCTAGCAGCTCTGGAGGCCTGAGAGGAGGGGCAGGAAGGGGAGGGAGCTGCTGAGTCGTCTCTTACTTGAGCTGCGGGTGAGGCTGGGGCTTCTGTGGTGGAGCAGCCGGGGGTGGCTGGGCCTCTGCCAGGGAGCTGCTGCTGGAGGGCGCATCTCCGTGGGCGGTGGGGCCGCCCGGCCGCTGAGGAGCCGAGAAGGAGGAAGAGGAGGAGGAGGAGGAGGAAGAGGAAGGTGGCAGTGATGGTCCAGGGGGCAGCCGGCGAGGAGGCAGCACCGCGCCTGGGGGTTGCTTTCCTTGGGGTCGCCCAGGGCCCCCTAGGTTCAGCACAAGAAAAACTTCATAATTTAACCATATCAAAGGGTTTCCTTATTAGAATCTATGTCTCAAAGGGTGTGGTTCTTTAATTAGCAAAGGATAAGCTCTATTACAAGAAGCCTCCCGAGGCGCTGAGGTGGAGAGCGCGTCCCTGGTTTCCCTCCGTCAGGGCCACCACGTGCTCCTCAGTCACAGCAGCGGTCGGGAGGACGGGGTGGACACTGCAGGCTGCACGGCCCCCTCAGAGGTCAGCTCGCCCACCGAAGGCCCCCAGACCAGAGGTTCCTCGGGTGCAGGCCAACCTGGCCCGCGTGCTCGGAGGGCTCAGGTTCCACGCAGCAGGCACCGTGCGGGGCGGTGGAAAGGCCCCTGGTCTGGGGATCAGAAAAGCCAAGACCTAGTCTATTGGCGACCCCCTGAGCAAGTCAACAGGCTTCTCTGGACCTCTGTGTTTCCAACCAAAAAACTGTGAAAAATTAAGTCCTAGTCTTAGTTATCTTTCAAGATAGTAGCACTTCCAAGATGATAATGGACGAAAAAGGTCTTCAAAAAGTATTCTGTGCCTTATGATCATGGGTGATTACTGACATATTGTTTTGGTGGAGCTGGCCTCAGTCCGCCCTGCTGTATAGCTGCCTGTATCTGACTGCCACCCACCCCCTCGCCCCCAGGAGGCCTTCCTCTCAGCATTAACTCCTGCCCCTGACCAGGACCTTTTGTGTCCAGGCTCTCTCCTGCCTCTCAGTACCATCCTCAGGTGCTCCAGTCCCTCCCAGGTGTGTGTGGTGAAATTCTCCAGAAACCCATCCCTGGAGATGTTGTGGGCACCATCTGGCAAAGAGGACTCCTAAAAGGACCAGGATCACCAACATGAGACAGAAAACCATCTGCTGATGGAGAGACAAAAGGCCATCCTTCCTCTGAGGGTTGAGAGGCAGTAAGGGTGGTCCCAGATGGCTCAGATTCTGCTGAGGGGGAGTTCTACACTCAGCAGTCAAAAGATGTCCTCATCAGCACATGCTGACGTGTGGACGTGATGCATAATTGGCTTGGGAGATCTTATTTCTCAGTCTCAATCCCCGAGTCTGCACTCACAGGCCCACTGGAAGGACTGGGCTTACAGAAAGTCAACAACAGCTAAGAGTTGTATTGTAATTTAGTTTTCTAGGAACACCAGGACACCTGTATCCTCTGGAGAGGCAGACCTGTTTGTCTAAACCATTGTATATCCATGATTGAAAGTCAGTTTCCCCACTATATGGCACGAAGTTCACTTTTTCATCAATTACCAATTCATACCAGCCTTAGTTACACATAAATAAGTAAATACATAAATGGGATTTTGCATGTTGAAGAAGTTCTAAATTCAAGTCAGGTAACTAGTGAAGATGAGAGATTAGCAGATTATTTCATATTAACCAGTTTTCGCCATTTCCAAAGTTTGGCATCATTTATATCAGCATGTTTTCATAAAGCACTGCAGGTTGACAGCTCGGCCTCTTGTACCAGAAACCTGAGTGCTTTCCCACCTGTACAGAGATGCTTGAACAGCCAGAAACTTTACAACTTAACACTGAAGACAGATATAACTTTTCCTTTATTGCACATTAAGCTGTACAAGAGTCACAAAAGAGAGGTACTTCAATCACACTTCCAGCATTGGCTGAGGTTCTCCCAGCTGGATCGGTACAAAAAAAGGGGACAACATCAGAAAAGAAATGGGTATAAAACACCTGAATGGCAATCCTACACTGTGACACGGATGCCCCAGGCCACAGAGTTGTCCTTAGCATGCTGCCTGAGGGCACAGGACAGTCAGGGTACGGTACGTGGTCTGCTTGCGTTTGGCAGTGGAGGGGAGCCCTGATCCGTTTCTCCCCCACCTGACAGGCCGTGGCTGACACCACCCTGGTGCCTGACTGAATTCAAATGGCAACTTTGTATTTGTGGCTCACAAATGTCACATGAAAAGCACCTGAATGTTCACACTGATAACATGCAGAGAAGCAACACCACCATCAGCTCACCACTTGGACAAAAATAAATTAAAAAAATAAAGTGTATCCCTCCATTCTGGGAAATGTTACTTTATTCCTTTCTATCATTTCATCAGACTGGGAGGTATTTAAGAACCTGATTCTTAGGCAACCCGCCCGGAAGTGCATAACTGCATATATATGTATATATTTACAACAGATCGACCACCATCCACGTCTAAGGGAGGAATCACAGACAAGAACATTCACACTCAGTGCATTTCCCTGTAACCTCGGAATTTGCCAGCAACCAACCAGCAACCAACATGCCCCTTGACACAGAAATCATGTTACACGCTACCAACACCAGTTACTCCTCAGACTTGGGAGTCCCGGCAGGTGGTGTGTCAGTACAGAAGTGAGGGGAGGTGCCGGTAGGGCCAGAGCATTTCTCCTAAAAGGCAAACTGCTGGCGCGGACTCCCATGGACCACGGGGTGCCTGCTCCCGGCCTGGCTGGGGTGGCAAGACGAGGAACTGACCCGAGGCCGGTTTAACTAATGCCTCGTCCCCGCCCAGGAGCTGTGTGCTGAGGACAGAGGACAAACGGGCGAGGGTTCTTCAGAAGCCACGGCTGCGGAGCTGCTGCCCCGAACACACACAAGCTACCGTCTGAGACAGGCCTTCCCGGGAAACGTAAAGCTCTTCAGTGTCTGGACTCTGGAGGGCTCTCAGAACAGCCGAAAATAAAGCAGCAGTCCAGCTCTGAATTCCAGAGGGCAGTGGGCGCACTCAAGGGAGACGGGGCAGTTTGGATTCGCTCTGGCGCGGCGATGCCTCAGGAGAGGCCAAGAGCAGAATGGTCCTTCCCAGACGTTCGGTACTCCCTGCACTCCGTGTGCCAAACTGCTACGGAATCATCTCTGTACACGGGTCCAGCTTTGGGGAATAATGAAGCAGCCTCAGTTCCACAGAAGCGCACACACGGCCAATCCAGAAACAGCAACAAAGTAGAGACAACTTAGGGGGACTGAGATCAGCACAGAAAATACTCACAAGTTCACTTTGATATTGCACATCAGCGGCCCCATTTTTTTTGTCTAATCTCATAGCTAATTAGTTGATAATAAAACAAAGGGTACACTGGGATGTCAAATACAGAACACATTCCCAGAAATAGCGTGTTCTTTATATTTCACGTCATCACTAAAGACACAGGGCGCTGCAGGCACAGCCAGCCTAGTTACACAAACTCAAACGCACCCAACTTTAGCAAATGCAGAAAAAGGTGGACGCCTCCAGACTCAAAGGACGAAGCTATGGAAATTAGACCTTGGAAAAAATCTCTTAAATGTCTATCTATTTACCCTAGTCATGCAGCAAGGAAGGAGAAAGCACAGTTCATTGAAGTTCCCAAGCACACTCATGGAGGTAAGCAGGGGGTGGGGGGCGTTTATCTGAGTCTAGGGGGAGGAGAGGAGTTGGCTTCTGTTTTGGGGGTTCTTTGCTTCTCCCCTGTTCCCCCCAGTCCTATTTCACCCCACATTATGTGATACTTTAAAAGCTACTATCAAACCACCCAGAAGATAGTCACACTGAACCTGGGAGAGGCACAATTCTTTTGTACACTGTTGACAAACAGCCCTGGAATCACAAGTTATACAGAGAAACGTAAGTGAGCATTACAAGCACGAACAGGAACAGGTAAACAACCAGACAGAGGTGCTGACACTTCGTAGGAAAAACCCAGTCCAGTCAGCATTGAAAGAACGCAGAAACGGCACCAGTGGGAGGGTCTGTCGCTTCCCTCCCCGCTTTTCCTTTCTTTCCTTGTTTGTTTTTGGCTTAAAATTTCTGCTTTGAAAAATTAACTACCAATCGCTTTAAGAAGCTTGGACTTGTTTTGGCCCTACTGCAATGCCATTACAGTCGAGAATATACTGTAAACAACCTTGGGGGGCTGGCCGCTGAGGTGGGGTCTTGCTCGAGTCTGGATCCTTAAGCGTTCCACTCTGGAAGACAAAAATGCAAAAGAGATAAAAACAAAACTCCAAGCAGATTCCAAAGAGAAACCCTGTGGTTCTGTGGCACGACTGAAGCGGGATCCGGTGGGATCTGGTGGGATCCAGTGGGATCTGGCCCAGAGGTTTCTGCTTCAAAGGGATTCTCAGCCTCTGGGGTATTGTGGGGGCCTAGGAGTAGGCCGTCTGGGGCTTAGAACCACTCTGACAGTGTCCAAGACCTCCTCCACCTCTTTTTCATTTCACTCCCTTGGAGACGTTCTTTCTAGAAGCTTTGAGTCTTCTAACTGCATCTAGTTCCTTCTCAGGGGCTGCCTGGTGTCCAGCTCCCTGTTGTACCCACAGGTCCAGCTTCCCGAGGGAAGGATCAGCACCAAACTCCAGGGAGCGGCGGGAGAGCCAGCGGGGGCTGGACCAGGTAACTAGCCTAGACTTGGCTCGCTTCTCCTGTGGCGTTAACTCCAGGGTGGGATCAGCTCTGGGGCTGACTCAGGGGTCAGAGCCACTCTTTGGGCTGGGCTGGAACTCCCACAGGGAGGGACTTGAAGGAGGGGGCAGTCTTTTGTTTCCCAGAACCCTCCTTACCCAGAGGGAAGGAGTAAGAAGTTAATGTTTGCAAAAGTGCTCAAGGTCAAGCTGTTTTTCCCTCTCAAACAGCATAATTGCGTTTTGCCCAACAACAGGGCTCCGGTCCCAGGGTTCCTCTCCTCCCAGCTGCGATTCTGATTATGCCCCGGCAGGATCAAAGGTGCATGTGACTTCAGTTTGTCTAACATTTGCACTGAAGGCGGTGAGCATTTGGAGCTTGAATTTAGCACAGGGGAAATGCTCTGTGAGGCCTGAGGGCGGCCAAGTGTGCCGAAGGTGACGTCAAAGAGGGAGCTTCAGGGGCAAGGCTGCGCGACGGCTCAGCCTGTCTTCAGCCTTCTCCCACTTCCTCTTTAGTGCCCCTCTCCCTTGTGACAGGGCCCCCCAGCCCTACTCCCACATTAAAACTGTTCCCCATTCTCATGGGCCTCCAATCTGGCCTTCTGTCTGCCTTCCTGCCTCTTCAGGCCCATTTTCCGCTCCACTACCAGGAGAGCAGAAGCATCGCCCTTTCCAGGGTCATGGTCTTTTAGTGACAGCATTGCACCAAACTGTTCCACTGACAGGATTTTGGAGAGTGGGAGGCAGGGGGCCTTTGAAACGTCCTTCGTGCTGCTGCATCAGAGGGGGCCCATTCCATCCACAATCCTGGCCTCTCACTGGCCACAGCAACAACACCCACATTTCCTTTCCCCTTCTCCAAGGACTTTTGTGGGAGCCACGCAGCTGAGTCTGGCACCGAAACGCCCACACTGTCCAGTCAGCCGTCGAGACCCACCGGTTTCTCTGCCTTGGCCTCTAAGACTCACCAGCTTCTCTTGCCCAGCTCTGGTCAGGGCTATGTCAGTTCTTGTGCGGGCTGCTAGGAGCAGTCTCCCAATTCTTTAGTGTCTGCTCTCTCCAGTCTCTCGTCTGCATACTTATGCTCCTCCTAAACGCCTTCTCCAATTGTGTCCCTTTCCTGCTCTAAGTGGCTCATAGCTAACATTAGATATGTGCCAGGTAACAGGATGGACAGCTTAACGCAGTATTTCCCTTTAAACCTCACAGCCGCTCTGTGAGGTAGATGTATTATAAACATACCTAATTTCTAGATCAGGAAACAGGCCCAACTAAGCCAGGTCATTTGCCTGGGGCCATAGAGGGCTGGCCAGTGCAGCTGGCGTGCTGGCCCAGGCAGTCTGACCTTCTCTGCCAATCGTCTACCAGATGACATCAGCACGGTTGGCCTGGCCCTCGTAGCCTTCTTTCTCCCTCCTGTTGTAAACACATCCACTCCTTTATTCTCCAGTCTAGGCCACTCTAATGTTTATGCTAAGTACCCTCCAGAAATGCCCTTTGTCCTTTCCTACTAATCCAATCCAACATCCTGGAGGTCTAAGTCAGATTCCAGCCCATCCATGAAATCTCTCCTCTGACTGCCAGCTCAGTTGTGATCTCCTCTCTGAAATCCTGTAATAGACTTGGTAGACGCAGGACTACTGAAGGGGCGTGTGTAGTGCTGTGCTGTCTTGTTGTCCAGAAGACGGAGATGATGCTTCTAAGAAGACTGCCAGGTCCTTGAGGGCACAGACTCTGTGCCTTCATCTCTCATGAAGTCCTAATGATTACAGTGCCCATTTTTTTTTCAGAGAAAAATTGGGATATACGGCCTGATATGGGAACTATTTATTAAAAAGGTAAAATAGTTAAAATCAAGAATATTTTGGAAAATTTAAGATGGTCATCATTTGGCCAATGTTACCAAGCACAGGGCTGAGCGTGTACGAGGTCCTTCCTAAGTGCATATTAGATACACAACACGCAACATCAACGAGATCCAAAACAGAGTGAAGTCTTTTAAGAGGAAAATGCTGTTAAACCACAGATGTTAAACTACATTGTGTTTGGTGTCAACTGTGGTGAGCAGCTCTGAAAATGCTCGGGTTAGGGAATGAAACTTGAGGCCTGCTACACGTGCCTGTGTATTAGGCGCAGAAGGTAAGGTCAAAACAAGGCCTCAAAGAAGCAGAAACTGTTTCCATCAAGACTGCGTAAGCCAGTCAAGTTAGAGACACTTTCGGCCCAAGAGTTCTTTCCCACTGTGAGCTCTTCTTTTTATCTTGGCCTGGCTGCACACTACAAGAAAATTCTGCAGGATATAGTGTTTGATAATGGGCGCACAGGATACTGGGGTTGCCTTTTTACCTGAGCTGGGCACCAATCCCACCCTCCTCAATATAAACACCGCCCTCAACACACACACACACACACACACACACACACACACACACACATACACATTGCTGTTGGGTCTCCACTAGTAAGTCTTTTAAGAGTGGCGGAGGAATTTGGGCTTTTGGGTGAGGACAATGTTGGGTTAAATCTAAATCTCCGGCTTACTAGCTTTGTGACCTCGGGCAAGTTATTTCCCGCCTCGGCACCTGTCCTTATTCTAAAGGTTTCTATGACATAAGGTGAGATTATCTATCTATCATCTGTCAATTGATCAATCAATCGATGGAGGTATCTCTAAGCACCCAGCCCTGGCAGGTACCACGTAAGATACGACAGATGACAATACTGGTTAAATTGATGGGGCCCTTTCTTCTGAAGCTCTGTCATTCCCTGAGTCTCATTCTCATGATGGAATACCCCTTTCAGCGGGCTCCCACACCTGGACTTCGGAGACTTTTATTCAGTAGTGAGGGCACAGCCTCCTCCGGGCTCCCTGATAAGCCATCGGTGTCACAGCCTCGCTGCTTGAGAGGGACACTCAGATGAAAGACAGCAAAGCTCATACAGAGTGTGGAGCCACCAGACCGGCTCTTGGTGGGCCCCTCCCCTTGTACCACCGAAAGCTGCCAGTGAACAAGCTCAGACCCTGCTCAAGAACAGCTTGGATGTCCCCCTCCCAGAGAACTGTTACTTTCAGAGATGGTTACAGAAGACCGTGGAGCACAAGGGCGGAACCAGGGCCACTGGGCAAAAGCTCCAGAAAGGTCGACTTTCACTTAAAGGAAGAGCTTCCTGAAGTAAAAACAGTGGACAAGGCTGTCTTAGGAGGTGGATATGTTCATGCAGAGGCTAGAGAACTATCTGCCAAAGAGACTGCAGAGAATATACCTTCATTAGAAGTGGGATAGATTAGATGAACACTACGAGAACCTAGGGTTCCAGGAAACACTTTAAAGATCCCATAGATTAAGCTCTGATGGTAACACTCACAGCGTCAGCCGATAGGGGTAATCACCCTGTGAAGCCTGGCCCTGGCTCCCCTCAGACTCAGAAATAGACAAATGAGACACCCAAGATGAACTGAGACCAAAAGGCCTCTTCCGAAAGCTTTAGGGGAAGAGCTCCCAGAAGCTGTCCTCGGGCTGGAGCCTGGGAATGTGCCTTGGCCACCCTGGTCTGGTGTCTAGGGAGCTTCTCCTGTCCCTGGCCCCACCGAGGCTGTGGACTGAAGACTTCCCAGGGGTTATGGGAGGCGGGAGGAGAGTCCCCCAGGACCATCCCTTGCCAGGCTGAGACTCTCTGGCCCCGCCCAAGAGCCTTCCGTCTGCTGGGGCCGCTATTCCCTGTGGGGTTTGGCTACCATGGAATCTGTCTCCAGTCACCAAGAGCCGCCTGGGATGCCGAATTCCACAGAAGTCTGGCCACTCTGGCGTCACTGCCACAGTCTGGGCAGCAGCCAGCCCACAGCAGGAACCCACGGCCAGGCTGAGCGGCAGCGTTTCCCTTGGGAAGCTGGGCTGACTCAGACAGGTAGGAGTGTGAGGTCTAGTCCTTGTGCCCAGCTGCACACAAAAAGGGGGCAAAACGGCCTTAGCGCAGCAGAAGGAAAATGCCCTGAACAACCCTGTACTCAAGATAGCAAGCTCAGAAGGGCTCAGTGTGTAAAGCTGCTGCCAAAAATTTGCTGCAGCTAGAGGTGCATCAGTGTCCCAGAAAGGGGGTGGTCACGGGCCCACTGCATTTTTGGCTGATAAGCCTCACGAGAGAGGGAGGTACTGGGCACCCACTTTAAGGCAGACGCCAGTGGAATAAAAAGGGTTCGTGAAACAGATGGGTGGTGAGGAATGTGGGAAGGACATCTCTCCTCATGTGACTTGGGGCAAGTTGCTTAATCTCTGAGACTCAGTTTCCCAAACGAGCTGAGTCTGAGGATTAAATGAGGTAACTGTGGAAGCCCCCAGTACTGAGCAGAAGATCGAAGTTAGTCAAATGTAAATTTGATCAAGGTCAAGGGCAGGCGTGGGCAGTGGTGAGCCTCTTGGCGTTAGTGTTTAGGCAGGGCCTGGACATGCTCTTTGTCAGAGATGTTTGCAGACTGCAGGCAGGTGACTTCACAGGCTCTGGGTTTCCATTACAACCTTCGTGTGTGTTTTGGCTCTTGAGGTGCCTGAGGTATGAAACAAGCC